GGGGGGGGGGGGGGCACTGCTCGGGCGCTCGCCTCGAGCTGAAGGCGCAGCTCCGCCTCCTCCTCCTCCAGGCTCAATATCTTGAGCGGACGGCTCAGCGCCAGCTCGGCGGCCGCGAACGTCTGCCCCGGCAGCGCCGCCAGCCGCGCCGCCTCCTCCTGCGCCTCGGTCGCCGCCTGCTTTGCCGCCTCGACCTTTGCCTCCGCCGCCGCCTGCGCCGCCGCCGCCGCCTGCTGCGCCTCCTCAGCCTTCTGGCCCGGAAGCGCCGCGAGCCGCGCCGCCTCCGCCTTTGCCGCCGCAACGCTGCCAGCGATCTCTGCCTTCTTTGCCTCAATCTTGGCGTCGACGTCCTGCTTCCACTGAGGCGGCGGGGAAGGCGGGGCAGGCTTGGCCTTGGCCTTTTTGGCGGATTTTGGCTGAGTCTTCCGAGGGCCAGCCATCAGCAGAGCGGTGGCACGGCTGGGCGCGGAGGCAACAGCAAGGCAGGGCGCCACGTTGGCAGCGGCGGCGGCTCCGTTCGGGCGAGAGATGTGAATCGAAGGGCGGAGCAGGAGGGAGAGCGACGCGGCGACGATGGCAGCGAGCATACTGAACGAAGCGAATGGAGCACGCGCTTGCCAGGCCTTCCGCTTCCGCAGGCGGCCTCTTGGCAGGGATTCCGGGCGATGAATCGGCAGCGAATCGAGGAGAAAACAAAATCTGTGTGCCCGAGAGCGATATGCCATGTCCGCCTTGCGTGTTTTCATAACATCGAAGGCTAAGCTCAAACAAAATGTACTGCCGAAACATCTGTAGAGTCCGGCTGGAACTCGTTTGGCGTGCCCGTTTTATTTATTTATTTATTTATTCCGGTTGGAACGAGAGAAGAATATAGGGTGGATAAAGCGCCTGTTCACGGCATGGAGGGTGAGTCACACCGAACGTACCGAGCGAAGAGCTGAGCGGAAGGAGGACGGGGAAGATGACTCAGAGGAGGACGAACCAGTGGAAATTCAGTTGTCAGATGTCACGATGCATCCGAAGGGGACTCCAGCGCCGGCATCATCCGTAGAGGCACGAGTGTTCGAAGAGAGAGTGGACCTGAGCAACAACATGACCTGTAGGCAAATGCTCGGAGTGGGAGTCAGAAATGTGGTCCTTGCGCGAGCGAGGGGAGCTCGATAGACTCGAGGGGCCAGGATACGCCGCGAGGAGGACGGAGTTGCGCCGAAAGGCGAAAAAAGCCGCGAGAACAAGGGACCGGCAGGCGGCGGCGCCGCAGGACGAGACAGAAGAGAACGACGCGACAGAGGAGGAAGTGACAAGGGAGAGAGCGACGAGAGTGGGACGGCCGCGAGGTGGCACGAAGGTTGAAGCGAGAATCGGAGAGAGACTGCGAAGAGAGATAGGAAGAGGCAGACTCCCTAGGGTAGGCGACGGCTAGCGCATCACACTCCTCTCCTTAAAATCCCTGTGTGGTGGCGGCGTGCCGTTCTCCCATCCCTCCCTTGGGTTGTCTGTTTTCTTTCTTTTTTAGAGTCCGGCTGTTTCGGGGGTAGGGTAGGGTAGACTCCCCGGATCTGACCCCCTACCCCTCAAGTATCATTTGTTGGTGAGGAACGGACGTCTCCAGTGGCCGCAACCCCCTACTCCAGCTCCCCCCTGCCCCACCCCTCCCGAAAACCGCCGGAACCCGCCGGCTGGACGCGTCTTTCCGGCCGGCCACCCACAAGCGCTCGGACCTTACGCCGACATGGCCCTCTCTCAAGCCATCGTCGGCGCGGCGACCCTCATGCGGGACGTCGACGACCTCACCGACAGCGCCTTCGACGCGGTCGAGAGTGCGGCGCAGATGTGGTTCCGCAAGATCCAGGCGGCCGGCGACAGGCTGAGCGACGCTCGGTCGTGCATGCGGCCGCCTGCAGTGGACGTCGGCCCGGCGTATGAGCCCTATCAGCACCTCCCTTCGCCACCGCCGCGACCGCCGGATGCATTCGCCGTGCTCTCGACGCCAAGGACGCCCACCGTGGTCCGCAGCTCCTCGCTTATTAGCAACGAGCCCATGTGCGCGCAGTGCCACTCAAAGCTGATCAACAAGGGGCTGGCCCAGCGCCAGCCCCGCGGCCTCAATGAGGTCTCGAACGTGTCAGAACGCGCCAACATGCCAGTGGCGCTTCGCCCAAGCCGGAAGAAGCGCTCAAACCGCCGCCGCACCATCTAGGGCAAGGAAGGAGGCCGGAGCGCCGTCCTCTTTCAACCTAGACAGATGTGTATTAGACAGGGTTAAGGCCCAAGCTCGGGAATCGGGCAGCGGCCCCTGTGCAGCGGCCCCAAATGCTCGGGGTGGGATGCGTCTCCTCTCTTGCTTGTGAAGAGAGAGAAGAGAGAGAGAGAGAGACGGAGACCAGAGAGAGGGAGAGAGAGCTTTTTTGCCTTGAGTTACGTATGCCGCAAAAGGGAGCTGGATCAGCGCGTGCCAGCAGGATCTTAAAATCCCTGTGTGGCGGCGGCGTGCCGTCCTCCCTTTCGGTATGTTTTTCTTTCTTTTATCAGACCGTAACAGACCGACACGGCTCTACTGACCTGTTCCGACCTACATCACTTTGAACATTGTGTCCGGATCATGGTCGGAAGGGGCAACAGGTTTACCTACGAAACATGCTACTTCGTAGCGGCACGGCCCGTTTTGGATGTCTGCGGAGATTCTGTCTTAGCACACCAGTGAGTCATTCGGAGTCATTCGATGGCCAGAGTGCGATTGTGTGTGTGTGTGTGTGCGGGAGTTGGTTTGTCGGGAGGGAGTGGCAGCGAGGCTGCTCACCCACGTGCACCGGGCCAGTGCTTGCACTTTGAATGCCGTGGGGCTCCTGCCCGTGTCCGGGTGTGGAGATGCGAGGGTCGCCCCCCTTGCCCCACCACTTTGTGTGTGTGGAGAAATCTACCTTTACCTCGGTCGGATCACGGTCGAAAGCAGCACGGATCAAGGTCGGCAAAAAGGGTTCTGACGTACAGCGATCAGAACAAGGTCACACGCTGCGAAGAGATTAATAGGGGAGAGGCAGACGGCCGAGGGCAAACGTGCGAGACGGCTACCGGGTAGCACGCCCATCCCGTCTTGGAAATCCCTAAAACCGTAAGAGGGTAAGAGAACCGGCCCCACCCAGCTTCGCAGTTGTCCTCAAGATTCTTGCACTCGACTAGCTTTTTTTAGGGGGGGGGGGGGGGAGGGGGCG